GTTAGACTCTGCCTCCACTTTACACCTGAGCTTAACTTTACAGCAAGGGGCTCAGAGGTGGAGGACATTTCCAACAAGCCTCTTTGAGGGAGGGTGGGACACATGCGTTCTCACATCCTCAACCACTGTTCCACTCAAGGAACATCTCAGAACCAGGAAACTCTAAAATTATATGGTTGCTGCTAATGACACAGATAAGTGTGAAGGGCCTACTCTCCTGAGATCTTCCTGCAGGTTGTTATCCTTGAACAGCACTAACTAGGAGGTACACTGTGAGTCATAGCCAGGGGTCACTGGCAAATACCCACAGTTCTTAGTTGTCTAAAACAGCTGGGGTCATTTCTTGGCAATACTGAAATCAAGTGAAGTCCCTTTTCTTTTAAATCCCCACCTAAGCAATCTCAGGGCCATAAAGAAATGTAAAGGTCAACAAAGGGAATTTAAAGCACCACCACCCACTGCTAGGAATGTTGTTATAGCTCACTTCTGTCCCAGTCACTCTCACAAAGAGGAAAGGATGACACCGATGGAGCAGTGTATTCCATTACAAGGCTCAGGAAACAAAGTGCTTCCTTCTCACCAAAAGTTCAAGGATATGACATCAGAATGTAATCATTATCACATGCTAAAGAAAGGGCACCTCCGAACGCTGTCAAAGTCTGTACAGTGGGATTAGAGTTGAACATCTTACAAACAAGTTAATTTTATTTTTACTTTTAATTATTACCCTTCAACTTCCCTTAGCCCTTCACTAACCCACACATATTTGCAAACAAAGCAAAAATGAGCCTAAACTCATGACAGAGTCCAAATATCAAGAAGCTGAGAAGAAAGGGGTGGCAAAGCAATGCATGAGATCCCTCCCAATGCTACATTCAGACTTTTCTCATTTACCCACTATCAGAACCCAAGCAGAAGGCACAGGCTCCACTTCTTAACCTAGTTAAGGAACATGAACGGTAGGCATACAGAAGAATGATTCAAATCAACATGCTCCAACAAATCTAAGTTGCTACTCCTCTGATTCAAGTCAACAATATTTATAAAATACCTACTATGAGCTCTGGGCCAGGCTAAGTTTCAGAGACATTTTATAAAGCATCTTGAACCTCAGTACTCCTTCTTAGATAAAAAATAACAATACAAAACAAAACAACAAAGAAAAACATGGCAACATGCAGGAGTTACCTGTGAGGTTCAGCCATGAAAGCACAACACTAAACTATTAGAAGTATAAAGTGGAGCAAAGTTCCTTGTGAAGTCATCTTGAGCTACTGAGAAAGAAAGCCAAGTGCCTTGCAAAGAGAACTCCAACCCTATCATTCATAAATAGGGCCTGTCATTTAAAGACAGGGTGGGTGAAAATGATACAGGGAACAATCCCATCTTTGGATCTCTTCACAAGATCAGGATGACTTTTCATCCTCACATGGAATCATGGCTATGCACTCTAGTCTGACTGAACCACTGAGGCCTGGATGTGACTGGGAAAAGGGAAGCCTTCCATGCCTTTACACTTGGATTAGAAGTGAGTAAAACTCCATGACACAGGAGTCACCTTGGTATCGCTATTTAAGTATTGGCTACACAGTGATACTGTTTTAGGAATGAATGGAGTAGAAACTCAAAAGGGATACTGATGTTCCAGGTCCATTAGGGCATCAGAATAAAATACTGCATGTATCAAGGCAAACGAAAGAGGGAGTTGAGGCAGAGGGCACATCCATAGCTCCAGTGCAGAGGACAACCAAGAACAACAGGAAGGCAGACAGTCTCCTTAATACCAGTTCTCCAAACATCAATGGCTTATGTAACACTCTAGTGCAATCATGACAATGCTGCAAGGTTTACAAAGGCTTCTAGTGCACATTTGGGTTCCCTTAGGTCTCTGGAGGTTTGGCAGGGCAGGTTTTATTACCTCCATCTTCCAAACAGAAGAGCTATCAGTAACAAGGTTAAAATAACTTGTCTAGAGTCACACAGTTAAGAAAAACTGGGACCTCAACCTCTGTCTAGAATCAGGATGCAAGGAGTTCTCCAATACCTCACATGGACCACAGGCTCATTTACCATTCCTTGGTCCTCTGGCAGAATTAGCACGAAATCACTATGCAGAATGCCAATTCTCTACAGAGATGCTTCCATACTCTTAAAAGGAATGAGACTTCTGTGGTATTCTGTGGGGAAAAGATACTGAAAGCTATGCCAAAGAAAGACCATCTTCTAAGTACAAGGCCATGTAATTGGAAGGCCCTTCCTGCTCTGTTACTGTTTGTGGTAAAAAGCAGAATATGATTCCAAGTAGACCTTCACTCCACATGGCAAAAAGAATTTAGTGCCTCAAGACTTGCAGACACGGGTACCACTGCCATCTGCAATTAAAGCTCACACCAACAATGGAAAGCAAAGGTTTGTCTAGAAAATCCACCTTACTGGATCTCCAATGGCTTATTAGAAGTACTCAAAACTAGGTGTGGTGGCACATAGATGGAACTCAAAGAGGCTGAGGCAGGAAGATTGTCCTGACTTTCAGGCCAGACTGGGCTATAAAGTGAGAGCCCTTTCAAAACAACCAAACAGAACATGACAGGAAGCAGTTTGAAGCAAGTCAACAATGGTTAACTTTCCTTGAATGCTTACTATGTGCAAGACTGTTTGAAGCACTAAATGTAGAGGAATCATTCAGCCCTCCCACCAACCCTTCGAGAAACTATTATTATGTTTTGTTTTCTTATATACAGAAACAAAGAAGTAAGAAGACTGCCCTCATTGACTACGGCTCCGAGACTGCTGAATCCTGAGTCCATACCTTCTAGGCAAATGGCAGTCCCTGCCCCTCTGATATCTGCCAAAAAGGAAGAAATGAACTAAAAGCCAGAAAATAAGGAAATTGAAACTTATAAGAGGTCATAAACAGAATGAGAGACTAAAAAATAATGAATGACACCCATTATGTTATTGTAAAGTTGGATAATCTTTAGAAATAACTAGAAACCCCAGCCTTTAGAATCAGCTGAGCACTGGTTAAAAATGTCACCTAGGAAGTTTTAAGAGTCTGTTCTTTTCTCTTCATTTTTGGGCCTCAATAAAAGCTAGGACTATGTGTTTTCAATAGTTTCTAAAGCAACTACATTTTATTAATCCTATTCTCTTTTGAATCAATATTATTACAGTACTTTTTGTAACATTGGTCATTTTTAGCAGTCATAAAGACTGTCTCGGAAACACTGAGCACACAGAGTAGGAAAAGTGGTGGTACTGAACAGATAGCTTCTGCTGTGACTTCTTTGCCATTTTATTAAGGCATGCTCTTGCTCCTCAGGTCTTGAGTGCTTTTTGACTCTGAACTATTTCAAAGTGAGCTAGCATCTCTAGAAGCAAGGCAACATAGAGAGATGATCATTTCAGATAACAGGTTCACAGTACGAGCCTGTATACAAGAATAGAAACCTTCGTGCAAGGTAGGCTGAAAGTCCAGCAGACAGTGGCTAGAAATAAGCATGCAATCCTGACTTCACTGGAGACTTCTGCACTTAACAGCGATCTATCTAACTAGGGAGACAGAAATTTACTCGAAAAGCATCACTCTAAGAGTCTGAAATTACTATTTGCACTTAAGGGGAAAATACAATAAGAAATGAGCTGTGATGAACTTATTTAAGAGGCACTCATTGGAGAAATGATGACTCCATAGGAAGAATCTCTTGGACTCAGAAATATTTCATTTTCAATGTGTTTGTTTCAGTGCAGTAACAACTATGAAAAATTAGGAATTCCAAGTAATGATAAAGGCACTCTCCATCATGCCAGCCTGTTTTAATGCCACTGGACACTTTCAAAGTTTATTTTTTACAACTCCCCTCTGCTAATAAACACATCACTGCTTTTTTCTTTGTCTGACACTCACTATATCAACTCAATAAGTCCTTAACTGTGTTTCCCTGTTGTCTTCCTGGTGCTTAGGTCAGACACTGTATCTACACCATAGGCAAAGTTTAATGAATGAATGGAACCTCCGACAACTTGAGAAATATAAGACTTTTAAGGAGACCAATCATATAACAAGAGGACTAGAATCTATAATCCCACATAATTGTTAACTACTTTTGAACACAAGCCTGCTCCACTGCTACAGAAAGGGTCACCAGTTTTAATCTCCAATGCATGGGATCTCCAAAAAGCTAGATCTGATCCTGTAATAATGCCTTAAGTCTTTTGGAGTCAAATTTGACAATCCTTCCCAATATATGTGATCGAGGAAAGGTTGGCTAGTAAACTGATTTTAAAGGAAATTCCTTTAATTCCGAAAGGGTTGACCTGTAGTAAAACTTCAGTCTTGGTACTCTAAGGTGGATACTTCACAGTGAACAGAACTGAGTTACGGTAGGAGGAACCCAGACTAGACAGACTTCAAGAAACCCCCAGACTTGGCTTGTCACATTAGCTTAGCCAACTGGGTTGCCTAAAGCCATTGTTACATTAACCTCTTCTGGGCCTCAGTTCCCTCATTCAGGAAACAACTAACTACCTGAAGGGCAGTTCTAAAAATGCTCGGATTCCACTCTTGAGAAGATCTGGTTCAGAAACCAAGTACAAGCTATTTGTTTCATACCTCAAACACGTCCATCAAGCCCGTAATGCAGTTTTCGCGCGAGATTCGCTTTATTTTTGCTTAGGCAAATACTAAAATTACTTTTCACTTTCTGAGCACAACAGACAGTTAAGAGAGGCAACCGGGCCAAAAGCGCTTGCTAGCGACTGTTTACACTTCCGACTGCATATCGGGGGAACTAACCGTTCCTTCTCAGATCTTCTCTCAACTGTTGCAAAAGCAGATAACCCCCCGTGTACGACACAAAAACACTGGCCTAGGGCGATAAAGAAGGGCTTGTGGCCAGTGCCAGGGTGCCACCACTTGGCGGGTCCAGGGCGAATAGGGCGGGTGTCCGCCCGGTGCTCAGGGCCGGGGCAAGGAGCGGTCGCCGGGAAGGCAGGGCGGCTGTCCCGAGGGCTCGCCTCCCTGGAACAGGGAAGCGAAGTACCGGCAGTGGTTTTGACGACCCTCAACCCTCCCCGATTCCGTCCCAACCTTCGACCGCCGCCACCTGGGTACCTCGGGCAAGAAGAACAGAAAAGCCAGAGGAAGACACCTGCCGGCGGCTGCAGGGCCTCAGCCCTACTTTGCCGGGACAGCCAAGGTTCTCCAGAGAACCCCACCCCCACCCCCGCGGGGGCAGAACAGGGCCCTCGCGACTCGTCCGCCCAGGTAGTCCCTCTTCCTACTATAGACCCTCCCATCTTGGGTCCCCGCAGCGTCCGGCCCCTCGCTAGGCCAGTCGAGAATGTGCACCCACCTCAGGCTCAAGGAGCCACCAGAGTTGCCAGGCTGCTCGGCTTTGGAGCCCCGCTCCGCCCCTTCCACGCTCGCCCCGCCCCCTCCACGCTCGTCCCGCCCCCAAACCCTCCCGGGTCCCCAAACTGCTGTTGCCTTTCCTCCTTCCATCTCTGATTGGCTGGGGCTGGACATGTGATATGGGGTGGGAGGAAGGTGCTGGGTGACTTAAGTAGCCTCTTCTAGCTTTTCACCGGTGAGACTGCCAGGAAACCCTGTTTGACGGGTCCGGAGCATAGAGGCATCTGGGAATTGTAGTTGGTAATTGGTGCTGGGCATGGGCAGGGCCAAGATGTCAGAATCCACCCCTGTAGAGTCAGTGCCAGGCTGAAACCACTGGGAGGGTTAGCCCCAGTACTTTGGTGCCGGCTCTCACTACATCTGTGCAAAAAAGGGGAGGGGGAATCTAGAGGGAAAACTGTTCTAGATTAAATTGAAGCAACTATCACAAAGATGAACTATTATTATTGAGTGCATGAATTTGAAACAGATTCTGGTACAGTATCTGGAACTCATAAGCCCACATAAGCTAGGGGTGTATCTCATGCTGTGCCAGCACCTTCCCAGGAGCAGTACTGAACCAGTAAAAGGAAACAGGTCAAAATTAGTTCAGCTTTCTTAGGATTTGGTCAGATGACCACTGAAACAGTAAACAGAAAGTGAAAGCAGGGAGGGGTGCAAATGTATGAAGATAGCTCAGTGCTTAATCAAATAAACACCCTTAGTCTGGCTCATAGAAGAATGTATGTCATGTCTCTTGGTTTTGTGTTGCACATTGATTTTACACGAGAAATTTAGGTAAACAGGGATTATTTCACCATGATCTTTTTTCTTCTTCTATTGGTTCATTCTCTAAAATCTAAAAGCAACTCTTTTGCCTAATATCATTCAAATATACACACATATATATCCAAATGTCATTATACAGTACCCCACCCCATATTTAGCTTTACTTTCCATAGTTTCAGTTATTCACTGTTGAACAGTAGTCCAAAAGTGTTAAATGGAAAATTCCAGAAATAAACAACTCATAAGTTTTAAATTTCACACTATTTTGAGGTGATGAAATATCTTGCTATTCAGCTCCATCGCAGCTGAGATGTGAATCATGCCATTTCCAGGACATTCATGTTCTCTGCCTACTTTCTACCTATTAGTCACTTCATTGCTGGGTTAGTCGTCAGATTGATTGTAGTGGTGCTTCATGATATTTGTTCATGAAATTTGTTTAACCCTTCTTTCAATTAGATAATTTTATTCTATTTTATTTTATTACTACCTGTTGTTATTAACTTCTTACTCTTCTTAGTTTATTAATCTGCTGTTTTCATTGGTCTATATTAATACACACTCGATACCATTTATTATTTCAGACATCTACTGTGGGATCCTGAGTGCTATATTACTCAGGGATTAAGGGGGAGCTTGTGTGTGTGTGTGTGTGTGTGAGAGAGAGAGAGAGAGAGAGAGAGAGAGAGAGAGAGAGGGAGTGACAGAAAGAGAGACTTCTGAGATTAAAAAAAAAAAGACCTTTGTGAACCAATTCATTCTTTAGCCACTTCTCCCAGTCTGCTTCTCTGCCCTCCAAGTTGACAGGGATCTTTCTATTCTCTGGATCTTCCAGGGTTTTTTTTTTTTTTTTTTTTTTTTTTTTTTTTTTTTTTTTTTTTTTCACTAGCCAAACTCCTGGACAGAGAGCAGAATAACACTTGTTTCTGGGCCAGGCAGACTTAGAAGCTTCCCCCAGAGTCCTTTTCATTGTACTGATGTCATCATTTGCTTGAATGTCTGCTCTGCCAGCTCCCCTCCCCAGACTGTGAAGTTCTTTGAATTACATTCACATTTGTGCTGTATTTCAAAGCATGCTCATTAAATTTGCATGCTGAAGAGGCTCCCTGGTGGCTACGGAATAGCTGGATTCTCAATGTCTGTCAATCTTGGGGCAGAGGGGGAGAGGAGAATAAAGATGGGAGGAGGGAAAGCCACAGCTTGCATGGAGACTCGTATACATTAAGCATGTTTTAAGTGTCCAAGAATGAGGCTAAAGCCTTTTTGCTCAAGCTGGAAGTCGGGGGGGGGGGAGTTTGAAGAGGCTACAGGTGGTCTTCATCTTAAGCAGTTCCTCTAGGGATTTCTTCAGAGTCCATCTGAGTCTGACCCCAGCCTAGCCTCATCTGTGTAAGGATATAGACCAACCAGAAAGGGGCAGTAGAGAAAACGTTCTCCTAGGCTAGAAAATAGACACAATGGCCCCTGCCGTGCCTGCTTCTCAGTGTGATGGAGATCCTGGGAACACATAGATTTGACACTTGGAAAGTTAAAAATGTTTTGTGTGTAACAGAGCAGTTGCCACTGACCCGTTAGCAAAGCAACTATATAATTCAACAAGTCCTACATTCCTTCAGCATAGGGTGTGTGTGTGTGTGTGTGTGTGTGTTTAAACCATTCTTCAGTTTTCCCCGCACTTTGCACACAGATATACACATATTTTCCCCAAGGCAGGGGTTTTATGGGGAGATGGCTGGCCTGTCACTTTGGGGCATGTGAGCAATAGATGGGGGACATAATGCTACCTCTCCAACAACCTTTTAGAGCTGCACATCCCATACCTAGTGTACTTCTGTCTGTGTCCCCACTACCAACCTGGCCTCCTGAAATACTTGCTATTGCTAAGACTTGTGTTGAGTGACTCTAGCCTTCTGGATGTTACTCTGTTCACTGAAGTTGGGGGAGTGTGGTAGGCAGAGCTAATAGAGGCCTCTGAGAGAGCTTGGTCTTTCATCTCCCATTTCTCACTCACTGAACTCCATGGGCCAGGATAGGGAAAGGTGAAGGGAGAAACAGACTGAGGAAAGGCTGATTACGAATACCCATGTGAGGCGCAGGGCCCAAGGAGGATGCACTTGGAATCAGAAAGTGATTTGAATCCCAGTAAATCTCAGTGATTCTATAGGCAAACTGCTGGCTGTGGGAAAGCCATTTTACCTTTCAAAGCACTGCTTCCTCTAAGAAAGCGGTCCAGAATATGTTTGGAAAATTTTGCACTCTTAGGTATTCAGGTTAATTAAAAATGTATTAAAGCCATCAGGATGACTATGAAAAAGATGAGAGAGAAAGCTGTGCATCAAGGTACCAAGGTTCAAATCCTAGTTCATCTGTGAAAATACTGCTCTATAAACCTTCATTTCTTTCATCTGTCAAGTGAGTGCATTCCTCTGCTGAGGTTACAGGCATGTGTCAACATACTAGGTATTTGGTTTAGATCATTGGCTACATATGGTATGTGAAGCCAGACTCAGCTACATGAGACCGTGTCTCAATATATATCTCAAAACCATTATTATGCTAACTAAAAATGAATAAAAATGCAAATGGTCGAATTCCCATTGCTATGGAATGACTAAATCAATGATAATATATGCACATAGTGGAATATTACTTAGCAATAAAAAGTTATAATATATGCTACAGTATGAATAAGTTACAAAAATACTGTATTAAGTGAAACAAACTTTGTACAAATTAGTAGAGACTATGCTGTTCCGTTTATATTATAGATTTTATGGTACTGAAGATTAATTCAAAGTTCAAAGTCTCAGCATGCTCGGGAAGTGCTCAACCACCGGCCTACACTCGCAACTCCTTAGTACAGCTTGGAAAAGACAAAATTAGAGTGATTGAAGTCAGACTTGTAGTTGATTGGGGTCACCAGTCAACTACAAATGGGAGAAAACTGTCTCCAAGGGCAGCGGCAGTAATAGTTTAGGGGAGAATACAAATGCACTGTCTTGCTTGTGATGGTCATTATGAAACTGTGTACAGCTGCCCGAGCTCCAACTATAAACTTGACATGTATGAGTGCATTTCAGTGTAGATAAGCTGTATTTCAAGAAAACCGAGGTTAACATGGCATGGGGGGAGGGCGCCAGGAAGAAGAAGGATAGAGAGGATTGCCGACACACTTAGCAAGGCTGTGCTGTACCATGAGTGCAATGACGAGATGTGGCTATGTCTCACAGGTAGCTAAAGCACTGCTGCTGCTTGATGCTGTTTCTCTCACTCCTGCTTTTCTCCTAGAACTCACAGTTGAGATGGGGCCTCCTTGGAGGAACTGGCTCAGTAAGCTCTATTTTCCCAGCTGCTAAGTGCAGGTTTAAAGCATGTAATGGGGTGTGAAAATATTCACACAGACAAATCTAGGTTCTTTGTTCTCACGGATCCTTGGACACACCCTGTTTCCCAGGAAACATCACTACATAGGGTGTTCACAGTGCAGGGTGGGAGATACAGTGGGGGACATGACTCTGGGGTCCAGTAGAGAAAGCAACATGGTAAAAAAAATAAGTCCTGAAGTTCAACTGCAAATCAAAGTCAAAATCACAAGATTTCCCTACTCTCTGAACTTCCAATCCTAAGAGGTTTTTTTTTTTTTTTTTTTTTTTTTTTTTTTTTTTTTTTTTTTTTTTTTTTTTTTTTTTTTTTTTTTTTTTGTCATTAGTGCTGTTGATCAAATCCAAAAACTCACGTCTACTAACCTGGTGCACCAGAGCTCCAGCTCCAGTCTTTTGTTTCGTGAGACAGGGTCTCATATGTGCTTCACACTGACCTGAACTAAAATCTTCCTGTCTCTGCCTCCCAAGTACAGGGATTACAGGCATGCACCACCTCATCTAACTGGGTTTGTTTTTCAATCTCAGTTTCTTACATTATTTTTTGAGGAAGTAAGCCCTGTGAAGAAAAACAAACATGATTTACCCCCAACATGTTATTAAAAGAGCTTTCTCTTTTTATCTTACTATTTCATGGTGGCATGAGCATTATACCACTCAAACACATAATGAAAACTGAAAAAAACACATGAAAAAAATCTGTCAGTGAACAGCCACTTAATCTGAATGATACTGGGCTAAAGTTCATAAAGCAACAAAACATTTATGGAAAACCGTGTATAGTAAGACCATTATACTATTCTTGACAGAAAAATTTAAAGACACAAATGTGTGAAAGATACCACAAGTTTATGGATCAGAAGGATCAGTACTGTTAATAAGTCAGTACTACCCAAATTGATCTATAACTTCATTGCAACTCCTGTCAAAATTCAAATGATGTTTTGCAAAAGTAGAAAACTTAACATAGGATTCATATCGTCATTAATAGATTCCAAAAATGCAACCCAGTCTTCCTGATTTCAAAACTTATTACAGAGCTGCAATAACCAAAGCCATGTATGAGTGACAAAGTGGCTCCTTAGGGGCTTATCACCATGCCTGACAGCCTGAGTTCTAGCCCCAGAACCCATAGAGTGCAAGGAGAGAATCAACTCTGCAAACTTCTTCTCTGACCTCCACACAAAGGCTATGTCATGTGCGTATGAGAGCATGCACAGGCACATGGGAATAGAATAAATTTTAAATTAAAAGTAGAAAAAGCAAGTGTCAATGAGGATGAGAAAAAATTAGAACCATCCTGTCCCACTGATAGCAATGCAAAGGGCTCATTTTTATATTGTGTATATCTTATCCGAATTAGAACAACAGGAGTAAGCCTTCCCAAGTAGGTGGAGCAGAAAGAACAAAAATCAGACTTACTGATGTCAATGTTCTCTGTGCTTTGTCTCTACTGTAAAGCTACTTTTCAAGGTCAGGTTTAGTCTAAGACAGGGGTTTTGTGTCCTACTTCAGAAGAAAAGCCTTGAGGTTGGGAGTGTGGCTCAGTTGGTAGAGTGCTTGCCTGGCTAGGATCCCAGCACCACATAACACAAGCATGTTGATGCACACTTGTCATCCAGGAACTTGGAAGGTGAAGATGAAAAGATCATAAATTCAAAATCATTCTTAGCTATATAGCAAGTTTGAGATCTGCTGGAGGTATATTAGACATTGCTTCAAAAGCCAAATAGGACCAGCAAGATGGCTAGCTGCAAAGCCTGACCAAAAGAGTTCAATCCCCAGAACACATGTGGCAGGAGAGAAATGATCCCTGTAAGGGGTCCTCTGACTTCTATATGCATTCCCTGGCATGCCCCCACTTCTTTCCCAACAAGTAATATAGAATAAGCTTAAAAGAGAAAGCAGGCTTTGCATAGGGAACCAGGAGTAACTAAGAACAACTGGAAGCATGAGAGATGCAAGAACACATATTGTGACCATACACACCTGGAATCCCAGCTCTTGGCAGGTAGACAGGAGGATGGCACATTTGAAGCCAGTTTTTGCTGGCTCCATATCAAGATCCTGTCTCACAAAATAAACTGAAACAAAAAGAGTACATCCTTTTCGAAAGGAATGCTTCCCCACTGCTTCCTGCCAGAATTTCATGAGAACTGTCGGTTGGAGTTCCTTCCCCTCCCTAGGCCATGCCTCCCCTCAGTGAACAAGCCCTTCATGCAGCAAAGCATAAAGATGAGACATGATTGCTCTAGAAACCACTTCCTGAGGACCCCACCTTTAGGTGGGCAACTGGGGAAGAACCCATTGAGAGAGTACTCCAGACAGAGTGTGGTGGAGATGTTCCTTTTCCACCTACACTTTCTGGGAATCTCTTCAAATAGACCATTGACCAATGGAGAACACATGCACCCCCACAAAGAAGCCTGTCAACCCTGAGTCTCCAAGTGGGACACTCCAGGAGTAGCTATTTGTGAGTGGCATAGACTCTTGGCCCCTTGCCAAACTCCTTCCAGTTTCTGTTTGCTCTTAGGGAACAACATGTAAAGCTTCCGGCAGCAAGCAGCGTTATCAATGACAGCTGTAGACCTCCCAGCAGAGCCTGGAACATCCTAGGGATATGTATGGAAAACTGCTGGGGCAAAGCCCCCCAAGACTCCACCCCTTTCCTTACCCTTCCCACAATGCAGGTCTTGCACAAGCCCTGTGTTTCAACTGCGTTATTGTGACATTATTCTAAATAGAAGAATAGTGGCACACACTTGTGATTCCAGCACTTAAAAGCTTGACACGGGAGGGTTGTTGTGAGATTGAGACCACTGTGCACTAATAACAGGTACTAGGCAAGCAAGTACTACAAAGCAAGACTTTAATTCAATAATGATGATGATAATGAGCTATTGAGTACTATGAAATTTACCCATGTTAAGTATTCAGTTAAATAGTATATCCACAGAACTATATAACATCTATTTCCAGAAAATTTCATTACTCCCTAACACAACTCCAGATCCACAATCCATTTCTCCCTTTTCACCCCTGACAAACCCCTCTCTGTGGATTTGACTATTATTGCATATATAGAATTATGTGTTTTCTAGGTTCATCTGTGTTGTAACATGAATCAATGCTTCATTTCTTTTTCTGATTGACTAGCATTCCATCATATGTATATACATACCACTGTTTTATGCATTCATTTGTGATGTGGCAATCCCCTCTATGTGTTGTTTGTATTGGTTAATGAATAAAGAAACTGCCTTGGCCTGGTAGGGCAGAACTTAGGTAGTCAGAGAAGACAGAACTGAATGCTGGGAAGAAGAAAGCAGAGTGGGGAGATGCCATGAACCAGCCACCGGAGATAGACGTGTTGAGACTTTCCTGGTAGGCTACGACCTCATGGTGATATACAGATTAATAGAAATGGGTTAAATTAATATGTAAGAATTAGCCAAATAGAAGCTAGAGCTAATGGGCCAAGCAGTGATTTAATTAATACAATTTCTGTGTGGTTATTTCAGGGCTAAGTTACCCGGGCAGCTGGGACGAACAAGCAGCCTGGCTCTCCTGCAACAGAAATTTGGATTGTTTCACCATTTTATATTTTTATCAGCAGTGGTAAGAGTTCTGTTGTTTCTGTGTGTTTGTCAATGTTTGTCAATTGTCTTACAGCAATGTGTAAGTGTTCTTTGTGTTTCTGTTCAGGTTTTTAAATTATCTTTGAGAGAGCATCTCATGTGTCGTAGTCTGTACATAATATTGCTATTTAGCTAAGAACGACTTTGAACTTCTGCCTCTGCCTCTGAAGTGCTGAGAACACAGCTGTACTTCACCATACCTGTTGTGATCTAGCTGCCCTCACTCCCCCTGGCCGACAGGGGGACTTCCTTGTGGTCTGTAATTGACAATGATGTTTGTGTTCTTTCTGGCCGGTGTTTTTCCACAGGAGCAGTAGAGGTATAAAAGGCTTTAGTTGAGGCAAAATAAAGCTTGCTGTTCTTCCACCTTAAAAGAAGCCTCTGTGTCTCAATCCCAGAACCCTCCCCCACCAGCCTTGGCATCCAGGCTGCACTGGCATGACAACACCTAGTTCTGATCTGTGTGTGTCAATGTGTATGCACATGGGTGTGACTCTCTGTGGGTGTGTTTATGTGTATGCAGATGGATATGGTGGGGGAATGGGTGTACATGTGTGTACACAAGCCTCTAGAACTTAAACAACTTTAGGTTTCATTCTTTCAGTGTATCTGCTTTTTATTTTCTTTAATTACTTTTCTTGAAAGTTTCATATAACATGTTTTCATATTTATCCCCTTCCTCCAGCACTTCTCAGATCCAACCTTATTCCTTACCCACCCAACTTTGTGCCTTGTTTTCTTAAATCAGTCGAGATCAATGTGTGCTGCTCAAATATTCTTGTGTGTGTGATCTTCCACTGAAGAGTGGTCAACCTACCAAATGTTACATTTGTTATCCAATGTTACCAAATGTTATCCAATGTCTCTAGCTCTTACCCTCTTTCCAAGCCTTTCTCCTTGATGATCTTTGAATTTAGGGACAATGCTTCCCAGAGTTGAGGTGCTGAGAATGTATCCCATCCAGCAGTCCCAGAGTTGGCAGTGAACTACCTCCACCATATTGAAAGCCTGAGAGACAGAGCCAGTATCCTGGGCCATTTGTAACCAAGCTGCTTACCATTGTAAAAATGCTCCTGGTCAGAAAATTAATACAGATATGCATGCAATAAAGACAGATTCAGATGGAAAAGACCTCTAAATGGGTCACAGTGTTGGATAAATGTACATAGGCTTGAGAGAGAGAGGAAAAAGAATACAGACAGTTATAAAAGGAAGTAAATGGTTTTAAAAAATAAAACAAAGTCTTTAAGAGACAGAGTACAGACAGTCATAAATTAAAGGAGTAAAGAAAAATAAGCCATGTAAAGATGGAATATACACAGAGAGTCTGGATTATGTATATTATTGTGTTTTCTTTAAAAATTTTGATAGTGAATGAGCTAAGTACAGAGAGATATTTGATTCTGGTGGCTGTTAAGCTAAACCTATATAT